GTATTATATGACAAATAAAGGATAAAAGCTGTTGTTGTGACACTCTGCATCAGTGACACAGATAAGCTGAGATATATTTAGATACAACAGCAATTTTAAAAGAACATTTTTCAGGCATTTCTGCCTATGAATTGTACGATATACAGTCAGATCAGAAACACAAAAACAGCACATCTTACTCTACGGAGTGTTCATTAAATCTGCTCAGAGGGAAAAGCTGTATATTTATGTTTTTGGTCAAATACCATGCAGTGGCTGATATGGGAGAGAGTCAGGTACTTTCCTCAAGAAAGAATGGAAATAGTGCTTTTAAGTCCCTTGTGATCACTGCACACCTGCATACCTCTTGACACAGTCATGAAAACATTGATTTTGTTCATATCCAAACCACATCAGACAGATTACAATACATTATATTATTGTCATTTAGCAGACACTTTTCTGCACAGTGACTTACATAGGTTATAACTTTACATGTTATCTATTTATACAGCTGGATATTTACTGAGGCAATTCTGGGTTAAGTACCTTGCCCAAAGGTGCAACAGCAGTGCCCTAGCCGGGAATCAAACCAAAACACTTTCAGTTATGAGCCTTGCTCCTTACCATTACACTACACTGCTCCCCTCAAAAGACAGTTAATATTAGAAACCAAAAAATTATGAAACACTTATAAAGATTTTTTTTCTTAATTAAAAGAAATACATCTATGACACTAAACTAACAGGATGTCCTGAACAGCAATGTTCTTCTCCACCAGAACTCAGATCAGATTAAAGGCAGGATCTGCTTTAGTTTGTCTGGTATGCTCAGCTAAGCCTGCCATCATTCATCGCGATATCACACTTCATCTTTTTATATGGCGATATTTGCTTTTATTGTTATTACTGGTTAGTGTCTCATGGGGTGTTTCAATGTCCTTGCAAGGAAAACAAAAATCCATTCAGAAGTGCAATCCGAACTCTGCTCCAGCAGGGTGAGAAATCTCCAAATGGAAACATTAACAGGCTTATTTATTCTCTCGAGCTAAAACAAAATGGCACACTCGCCAATTCAGCGCATAATCTTTTCCAAATTTTAAAATGAGATTGAGAGGATTCGCCTGACTGCAATTAGGTCAAAGCGTGGCCATTACTTGAGCTGAGTGGATGAATATATTTCAACAGAAAGATTTAAGTCCTGGTACAAAAGAGGGAAAGAACTCCATTGGCAGAGGAATGTAATGCTGATTCGGTAATAAAATACTGTACGATGAAAGCTTTTGGTCTAAGAGGAGACGTAAACATTTCTGTTGCTGTTCTTGATAAATCAAGACAACACAGGTGGTATTTGATACCCATTTCGGGGATAAAATGCATGCTATTATGAGCCCTCAGGGCACTAATATCTGGACCGCTCCTTGTGTCTGCTTGTTGTTTTAAGACACAGAGCCTCACACCATATGTGTGAATTTCTCAACATCTGCGAGAAATTGCTGGGATTGGCTGGCACAAGGAGTAGGATAGGAAAAGGATTCCATTACCGTGATTCAAAGCAATGAAAGTGTGTGGGCATGCGATTCATATGACATAGCAGGAATGGATATCATATGGTTTATTTACTCCGATACTTTGTGCACCCCATTGATTTAAATGATTTTACGCAACAGAAACACAGGGTCCTCTCCTGTTATTGAAAAGAATTTACCAGTTGGTTGTGGTGGGTTTTAACACATTTAACACACAGATTTTCTGAACAGATATTATCGTGTTATCATAACAGAGTTCCTGATTGGTATATATTTCAATGTATTTCATTTTCAGCATGAAATATGTTGCCAGATGTTCTGATTTGGAGATGCATTTTCGCTCAGATTTCTGCATTTGGACTGGGTTTGCAGTTCTGGGACACATTGAATTTACACAACAAAATATATTGCTTTTCTCACAATAGCTGGGCAACAGTATCTGTATAATTTATGATAGTAAAGACAACAGACAACAGACTACCCCATATCATCTTCTGTGTTCTCATGACTCATCTCATGACTTTGCTGACTATATTGCTAAACTATAGTACATACAATGCCTTTTTTGTCGAATAACTACAACAAAGAACTTTACCCCCAAACTGGATTTGTTACATTCCTTGAAGGGTACTGTATGTAGGTCATTAGCATGCTCTGTTAACAGTAAGATCTTTCCACGCATTAGTATAATAATATTACTGGCATAACTTTTTTATGCTAAATCCTTGTTTGGCATATCATTTTTACACATGCCATGCTTGTGTACCGTAGTTACACTGCTTGTGACATTGGGTGGCAACAGATGGAGACGGCTTGCTAAACCAGGCCACAGTAAAACGCTTTCTGTTGGCTGGTGTTTTACCCACCTTGTCAGTAGTTTTTTTTTTTTCACACTCTCTGTGAGAGTGAATTACTACCTGGTCCTTAGGCTCTATTACAAGCTATTAAAAGATGGCGAAACCCACTAAACAGGAGGAATTCATGCCACAACTGGTAAACTCTTAAAAGCGTCTAAACCATCTTAGTGTCAGTTTCAGTGTGTATGACATGCACAGCATAGTTTGGATTGATTTCTATTTAGCTTTGAGCATGAGTAATGTGTCCCAAATTTGGAATACAGAAATATGGACACCCTTAACATCTGAATTCTTTGGAAAAGTCACTTTCATGAAGAAAAACTAAAAATAGGTTTATTCTGGTCCTCAGAGTGTTGAGGCTCGACTCTAAATTTAATGCAGCTGACATATTTTCTTTCAGATTAGACATGGATTCCTACACTCTCTGGCTTGGCTATGTTTTCGTTTAGAGCCAACTCATTAGAACAGGCTGTTGTATACTTAGCACTGCCATCAATGGCAGATATTTTTAGAATACACAGACTGAAAATGCAAACTCATTTGTCCTCCCACTCCCTCATGTGTTTTATGATCACCATGCCCATTGGGTGGCTTGACAATACTGAAAATATTTAAAGCCTTTGATCTGTGTGTTTGTCCTCCTTTTTGATGGCAAAAAAAGCAGTCTAAAGACCACAAATACATTGGAGCATGAGACCAAACAGCATATGGACTTCCTTTCAAGATATATATATATCTTCACATATTCACATATATATGTATATAGTAGCAGCTCAGTTTCAGTTGTTGGTGGTTATTACTGCATTGTGGGGGAAGCAAGTGGTGTGTAGGATTGAGAAATTACAGTAAGTAAAATTACACCCAGCATGGTCATCATTTTTCACAGTGCTTTGTGTTGCTATCTGCAGTTGCTTCCTCAACTGTCCCCAAAGTGACTGGTCCTTGATTGTCGTTTATTATTTTTTTTGTTGTTGTCCGAATCCAGATTTCCGTTTATTTGTGTGCCTGATGAAGATGTTTTCTGTGAAAACATCTGAAGGTTTCGGAGAAGACCTAATTAACAGAATAACAAAGTCTGCCCGAGGCAAAAGAAAGTTAATTTGCTTTTGTCAAGGGAAGGAACTGGATACAAATATGAAATACTGGGGCTAATTATTTGAAATAATTTTTTCATCTTTGGGTTCAGAGATATGACCTTTGATGTTGAAAGTGCTCTGAAGCTTTGGATTTGGTGCTTTTTGAAATAATTTAACGGGAATGAAAACCGAAATTCGATTGTGTGAGATTTTTCCAAACTAAAGGAAGCAAGAAAGCCTGTAATGGTGAATTTCAAATGAAAAATATTGGAGGTGGAAATTCTAAACTGACACTTAATGATATTTGGGATATTTTACAACATATATTTGGTCTGCACAATTAACACTGAACAGCAGAATACGCTATTGATCAGGACTGGATTTGGGGCTTGCGAGTCTGTAGGCATTTTGCTAACTGGGTTTCCATTTATTCTATATTGACTACATATTCTATATATTGGCTGACATATACTGAATCCTCACTATTAACTTCCCAGACACATTTATAACGTTTTTCAACATACTGTTTGTCACCTGACCCATTTAGTTGAAAATAACAATATTTTCCATTAATGTATGTATGTATGTATGTATGTTAAATTACTGGAATAAACATTCTCTGTATCTCCTTTTGGCCAGATGCCAGAATACCCGATGTGGAGCATTGGTCTACATAAGACTGCTTTGTCCCAGATGCCATAAACCCTCTAAATAGAAAAATAGAGTGAATTTTGACAATGAATGAGAGTGTGGGAGGTTGACTTGCGTTGTTATGTCATTACTGGTCTTATTCCTTGAGGAGCTGTGGAATCAATATGCTCATACGAGGACAGTAATCTGCTCTAATGTAATTAAATCTAAGCAAATCTAATCTATTAAGAAATATATCTGTGGTATGTAGCATGTGGCGGAGCTATTTTTGAAGATGTGTGTGCAGAGTTTATATACAGTATGTGACAATATTGTACCTGGCTTGCATGAACCTGGTGTGTTTTACACTCAAGGTTTTGTCAGGGGACAAAATTTTGAGTAACCGTTCTTGGTAATGTAAATTTTTATGTGACCAACTTTTTGAAGGCTGAAAGTGTTGTAGAAAACTGTTACATACATTGGATCTAGAAAGTCACATCATTTCAGAATTTCTTGTTTTCATTTCCCTGAGAGCTCAAATGAAAACTCAATAAATCAGATTTTTTTTCCCACTTTCATTTAGACCTGTTGTCATGTGGAAAAGGTCTTGTGGTACGACAAGACTAAGGTAGAACTTTTTGGCTTTAATCAAAAAGGCTATGTTTGGCACAAAGCTAACACAGCACCTCAGCCTAAGAACACAGCATCATGCTATGGAGAGGTTTCTCTTCAGCAAGGACAGGAGCTCTGGTGAGGAAAAAGGGGAAAATGAATAGTGCAAAATACCACAAGATTTTACATTAGTGTCATTTAGCAGACATTCTTATCCAAAGTGACTTACATTGGTTACAGTTTTTACGTGTCATCCATTTATACGGCTTAATACTTACTGAAGCAATTTGGGGTTAAGTACCAAGCCCAAGGGTATAACGGCAGTGCTAAGCAGGGAATTGAACCAGCAACCTTTCGGTTACGAGCCCTAATCATTACCATTGCAACACACTGCCAAAAAGCTGCTACCCGTCTGCCAAAAAGCTGAAGATGGGGAAGAATTTCACCTTTCAGCATGACAATGATCCAAAGCACACAGCCAAATCTGCAGTGGAATGGCTGAAAAAAGGAAAATCAATGTCCTGGAGTGGCCCAGTCAGAGCCCTGACCTCAACCCCATTGAAAACCTTTGGACTGACCTGAAGAGAGCTGTTCATAAATGGTCCCCTTGCAATTTAAGGGAACTTGAACTCTACTGCAAAGAAGAATAGGAGAAAATTGCAAGATCTAGATGTGAGAAGTTGGCAGAGACATTCAACCAGATTCACTGCAGATCAAAGTGGAAGGTGTTTCCACCAAGCATTAATCTAAGAGTGTGCAGAGTTATGGAAAACATTCAAAGTTTTTCATTTTTTATACTTTTTGAAAAACTGAGGCCTTTGATTTTCATTTAGATATTGTTGGTGACAATGTGTAAATAAAGCTTAAAAAGTCTGACTTTGCTTGTTGTGAGTTCAGCCTTTATGATGGCAAAAACAAGAAATTTTGAAAGGGTGTGTAGACTTTCTAGTTCCGCTGTATATCAGTTTTTGTAGTAGACTTTGTGGTAAAGTGACATGGAGATGAATTTGTGAAAGAAACCCTGCAAATGTATACAGATGTGACAATTAAAATGAACAAGACAAGAGTGTCATTTGGGTAAGTTATAATAATATTCATTGAAGTTATTACATTATTCATGAAAAATTACTCACCTGATAACATAATAATACTCTTATTATGTTATCCATTCAACAAGTTTATAACATTATCTGGAATTATTACATTATGGGTTGTTACAGAGCCTAACTCAAAGATGCTGTATGGTAAATGTCCAGGACCCAACATTTATTGTAATGATTTACACAAACAGTACTCTGCCATGCCAAGCCTCTTTTTTCTTGCCCACTGGCATGCCATTCTTCTTCCTGGTTTGGCCATACCTCTTTTTATTGCCATCTCTTTGGATCACAACAGGATTTTTTTACTTAACTATCAACTTTTTTTTCAAAAGAAGCTCTTTGCATCTACTTCATACATAATTTACTTTCAATGAATCGTGGGGTCCTGATCATTTGTATCATCGACATGTTTCTGCCTGGAGATGTATGGTAATTTCTTTATACTTTGCTTCCCTTAGTTTATAGGCCATCTTGTCAGGTTGCACAAGTGATCTTGTGGTAGGGCTTGAGTAGTATTATCCTCACACTCACTGGTGTGAGAGTGTTGTTAGCAAAATGAATGTAATGTAATGTAATGAGACCAGGCTATGTATAAATATGGGATATCCACCCACCAACCAGTTGCTTTGCTATGATATCAGCGATTGCTAAAGTTATGGTACTACATGTCCAACCAAAGGCTACTTCAAAAGTAGATGATTCCAAAATAGATGTTTTCCACAGTCAACCTCACAGTAACTTCATGTTCAAGGACCACTAGAAAGTCATTTCAGTGAATTACAGTTATGGAGCAATGAATGAGACAGTCAATGTACAGGTGTTCAATGACAGACAATGCTGTCTGTCATTGAACACCTGTACATTCAAAACAGACAATGCTGCAGTTTGAGTATAAAACTGGGACAATGATATTGTGTCACTAGTGCCTACAACCAGCATTGTGAAACTATTTGTGCTAGACTGGATGCATTGAGCCTTACATGGGGTTACCACTAAAAACTGTAGTTTTGGTACTGATAAAAACCTCAGCTGAACCAAAGTACTATTTATTGGTCTTGATGATTTATTATATAAACAGCCATTCTGAGGGCCTCTTTAAGCTTTAAAAACCTCTTTAAAGTCTTTAAACATTATGCAGGTTTCCAGCCACACCTTCACAACACGTGTTAAATAAGATGCATTATAAAATGGTTGTTGCCTCGCAACACCCCATAGCCCTCACAATATTCATGATATATCATGAGTTTTTGTGCCATAATACCTTTTTAAGGAAATAATCAGATCCATTACTTAATGGACACTCTCACAGAGTTCAAAAAAGTCTCTCCATTTTGTGAATCTGCTCTATATTACTTTTTTGCTGCTCTTCCATGAAGCCGGAGCAAGGGTATGTAGAATGCATTGACATTTAGCAAAGCTATTAATAAATCTAGATGTGTAATTAAAATATTCTCCTTTGCTCAGTAATGTTAGCACCTGAGTGCATGGCTGGAGTAATTGCTTTCAAGGAGTTCAAGAGGAAACAGCAATTTCACAGGTAATGTACAGCCAGTGCAGCGTGTCATTGCAATAATATAGGATGTGCAGCCCCTCTGGTGCATATACCTGAGCCCAAATTAGTATATGTTCCTCAGGAACATTCCATTACAGTAGTCCTTGCTGTGTACATTGTGTACTGTGTACTGTGTACTTGCTGTGTACATACATTCCACACTCAGCACAAAAATCAATATAAAAAAAATATATAAACTGAAAAAATTAGAGCTGAGCAAGAAACTATATTGATGCAAATAACTGTAAACATATGCATCCATATTACAACAGGATCTTTGTTATTAATAAGGGGTTTTGCAGTACATTTCTGGAGTAATGGACTTCACCAGAGATCACCCATAGTTGAATCACTGGCTTACTAGTCTTTGCATGGGACTATACATAGGTTAGTGAGATATGGGGACAGGTTTTAATAACAAGATGATATGTACCTGATATTTTAATGTAGGTTCAAATACTGACAAGTTTTGTGTCCTTTGCCAGATCAGAGAGGTTGTTGCATAGGAGCCCAATGGCTAAAAGCTCTGCCACTGACATTGAATGCTGTGATATTGGGCATGATAAGCTAACCTGTATCCTAAGACCTCAGTAGCCTTGAGGGTATATAAATATGTTGGTGAAAAATACATGAAAGATGGTGATAGAAAAGTGAAGCTGGCTGAATAGCTATTTAGCTAGCACGGTAACTGGTCAGTTGTGAAGTGAGAAAGCTTGCCAGAAAAGTGACAATACAGAGGCTCTTATGTGGCTATCATTTCTGCAACCTTATTAAGCTCACTTACTTATACCCTTACACCTTTCAATTTGCTTTGGATAAGAGCATCCGTGTAAATGTAAAAATGTAGTACGTACTCTTACTGTACAACTCTGACTCACCAGATGAAAACCTGGCTAAATCTGTGTGGCAAAAAACATACTCTTACTGTGAGCCCTAAAAATGGATTTTAAATTAAGGTAATTAGGTTTGTGCTGACCTACCCTATTCAGCTGTTCATTATAATAAACCTTAATCTTCATGTATTTTCCTCAGCACATTATTTCTTTTCTCAGCCAAGACTTTGCAAAACTGAGAATGTTAAAGAAAGTAATGACAAAAATAATCCTCCACCTTGGAATTTAAATTGCATGTAACCCCCGCTCTTTTTAACTGCAGCTGTTACTTGAGACAAACCAATAGCAAGTCTCATGAAAATACTTGACATTTAATAATAATATAATAGCTGAATAAAATCACAGATTAAGTTGTGGCTGCAAATCCTAAAAAGCTGAGACTAGTTATCCTCTATAAAAGCACAGTGTGAAAGGGGTATGGTCATGATACATGGAGCTGTAACCACTCTTTAAACATGTATATACTGACATTGTCACAGTGCAGACTTCAAATCTACACCATTTAGCTGAAAGTTCTACAGGCTGATTTAAGTTTTACCTCCATTGTTGTCTTGTTACTCTTCACCAGAGGGAAATTAACGAAACACGTGCAGTTTGATTTGTGACGTAAACACCAACGGGGGGCAGAAGCCGTAGGGGCCTGCCATGCTTTTCGTCGCTGATAAACTGAAAAATTTTGTCTGGTTCACTACATCTCTACCCAGGCAAATCAGCCAGCTCTTGGCAGCTGAACTGCATAATCGCTTTTAAACTGTATGTTTTAGCTTTGTCCCCAGAGATAGCAGAAGCATGTGGAACAAGCTTGAAGGAGCACACAGTGCCACATCAGGAGTCCCCTCTTCTCTCACTCTACAGTTACAGTGTAAGGCCCAGCAGGGATGCTTGAAATGAGATTTGACATCCCAGCGTACACGCGTTTTTCACCAGCAGTGCAATTTTGAGATTTGTGAAGTCGTCCGTGAAGTGAACAGGTTAAGTACATTTTGTCTTGTGGCAGCCTAAATGATGGAGCAGGCACCTTTTGTGCACATTGACGTACATAGTTGCTTCAATGTTGACTGACGTTGCTATGAGATAATCTTTTTGATACCATTGCTGTTTGGCTTAATTGATTAACTGGTTTAATTAACCAGCTTGTTTCTGTATGCTGATTTGTGGCACTGATTTTTATATACTTCTATGCATGGGAAAAGCAGGGTTTGAAAGATCACTACTTAAATATGACTTAGCAATCTATAGAAATATTCTTCTGACATTTCACAGAGCATATCATTAACAAAATAAGGAATTTTATTCCAGAAAACATAAGGCTATAATAAAGGCCTCCAAATGTTTCCTGTACCATGGAGTTTAAAACAAAAATCAGTCGCATGCATCACCATGCATCCTCAAAAGACAGCAAGCAAATGTCATTGACCTTGTCAAGTTTGAAGATGGCTTCACAAAACACTATATCTACCACTTTCATTTGTGGTGTCCATTATTAAGAGATTTAAGGCTACTAGTAGAATGGCCAAGAAGAAAAGGACACAAGTGTATCTTACCACAATGTACTGTGATGGAATGGATTATGGATGGATTGGAATGGATTGGAAACAACTAAATCCTATGGCAACAATTGGAGTTAATAAATAAACTGGCATCTACAGGATATAAAGTGTCAAAAGGTACCATTCACCATTTCCTGCACAAATGTGGCATTAGAGTCCTTAAAAGGCAGCCCACAAAAAGAAGAAACATGATTATACCAAATCTGAATGACAGCAGGAAGCATGTCTTATGGTCAGATGAAATGACATTCAAACTTAGTGTAAAAAGATGAAGTTTCCATTGAGGGAAAAAAGAACATT